AGACTCGGGGGGAGACTCGGGGGGAGACCCGGGGGGGAGATGGTGTTACCAGTGTCTCTGTCTACGGCACCCGTGACATAGATCTGATCGGTCCAGAGACAGCGCTTGATCCCGTCACCACAAATGTCACAGTTGGGCGCCGGGTCCGTGGTGGATTGACGACAGGCGGCGTCGTAGGCTTCCCAGTCACATTCGTCTTCCTGCAGCGCAGCCAAGCTCGTCTTCAGGTAGTAGGCCACGACGTCCTTGGTCAGGCCGAAGCACAGGGGTCCACCGTCGGACTGGCCATCAGTGCTGCCGCTACCGGCGGTCCACATGAAGTAGCGAGTCCCCTGCATATCTGTATTGAGCATCCAGTCGACGCAATCCCACTGGGTGGTGATAGCGAAGGTCGGTTTAAGTACATTCTTGGAGTTGGGTCCTGCGACGACAACATTGCCATAGATGGGGTTGTCGCGATCCGGTTGTGTCTTTCCGTCGCTGTAGCAGAAGGGGCTTGACCAGGTCTCTGCGGCGTTGAGACAGTCGTCATGGCACGCCTCGAGGGCGTCTTTTGAGCCTTCGCTGAGCATCCCAACGGCGTCGCAGGCCACGGGGTCGACGGCCCGGCGGCAAAAACTAGGCACCAGCAGGTCCCAGAGATCGAGCGTACTGCCCGTCAAGACCTGATCACTTGTCCACACACACCAATCGTGTCCGTCGTCGCAAAGATCGAAGCTCGTTACGTCTTCGGGCATGGCGCATTCGGTTGTCGGAAGCACCAGTCGCGGTGTGGACAGCAGACGCTGCAGAGACTCCAGCGACATGGACCAACACTTCTTCGCCGCCACGTCCCAAGTCATCAAGACGTCGCCCGTCTCCCGTAGACTGAGCAAGCACGTCCACGGACTCGAACCCGCGCCCTGTCGCTCCGACAACAGTGTGGAACCCGGACCCGCGAAAATCACTGGCCGGAACACTGGCTTATCCACACTCGGCTGCACTCGCCCATCCGCCAGACACGACTCACAATCGGTGGTCTCCTTTGACGGCAACAGCGCGCCTGCCACACAACTCGAGTGATAGGCAACCAACGCCGTCCAGTCCTCCTCCGTCATTAGGACTTCGTCCACCTCCACTTCACGTGTCCAGACAACGTCCGGACGTTTGGGGGCCACCCGTTCCAGACATGTCCAGTCGCAATACGTCGGATCAAGACCCTGATCACAGAGATCGCGAATAGAGGTTCGCAATGGGTCGTAATTCGAACTCCACACACCCGTCTGGGTCCAGACACAGCGCGCCACTTGATCGCCGCAAATGTCGCAACCCGCTGTCCCGGCCCCATCGGGACAGGCCCGATTGTACGCCTCAAAGTCGCACATCGCGCCCAGCCGATGCAACGGACTCCGGATTAACTCCGATAACTGGTCAATTGTCCGCAGTGAGCACACTATCGTGTCCGTCTGAGCCCCAGTCTCAGTCTCGGTGGCGGTCATGAAGAGCTGGTCCGCAGCTGCCCCCTGCGCAATGCAGTCCCACGGCGAACTTACTACTGTGTTGGTACTGAGGTCGTGAGGAGTCCGGTCGGCTTTCCGGCTGCGGGTTTTCGTCAGAGAGGTTGGTGCCCTGGGTTGACCACCGAAAACCCAGTTGCTGTAGGCCGGCGTCTCGGCCGGGAGACCCCGGCCGTCGAGGAGGCAGTCGGTGTTGCCTCCGAGCGTTCCGTCTCCGACAAGGCACTGTTGGTGGCACTCTTGCAGCTGGGTCCAGTCGAGAGTAGACATGCCCGTCCAGGAACAGAGGCTCTCGACCCCGGCGGTGCAAAAAGTGGGGATGAGGTCCCAGACAGACTTACCGCCTGAGACCACGCTGGCATCGGTCCAATAGCAGCGTGGGATCCCGTCATCGCAAACATCGAGGCCGTCGGCACTCCCCATAGCCTCTATGTCGCAATCACCCTCCTTCAAAAACGACAACGGAGTTTGGACAAAATACTTCAACCCCTCCAAAGGCAATCCGTAACAATGCCCGTCCTGCCACGTAAAGTAATAATTTTGGCTGTATGTCTGGTTAAGGCACTGCCAAGGCTCCTTGGGATCGTCCAACGGAAATTCTTTGACTCGGCTGGACTTGGGACCGCCGAAAACAATATCACGATACACCGTTGGACGCCCATCCATCAGACAAGGGCTATCAACCGCAGTGCCCGCACTCAAACACGTCGTATGGCAATCGTTCAGACCGTCCCAATCATCGTTTGGTTCGTAACCCGTCCACTCGCACTGATTCTGCTGACAGAGGCCCTCAATTGCCTTCAACAGGACATCCTTCGCATAACCACCAGTCGCCACCTGCACGCCATCTGATATCCATATACACCTGTCGTCACAAACTGTCTCACAGCTCTCTACATCACGACTGCTCGGCTTGTCCTTCAACACGGAATTAACTGCGCTAACTGCGCTAACTGCGCATTCAGACGAATACGAGCACTCATCGGCTGCCAGATCTGCAATCGGAGTCGTAATGAAGTAATTAAGATCATCGGATGTCACCCCCATGCAGCTCTGGTCATCCGAAAACCACATGGTGAGGGCCATCGAGCCATCTTTGTACAAACCAACGCAGTCCAGATGAGATTTAGCATCTGGTAGTGCGCGCACACGTGTGCTATTTTTTCCGCCCACTAGTAAAGGGATGTAGACTGTGTCCCGGCCATTTTTGATGCATTCCTCGGAGAGCTGGTCGTTGTTTTGGCACTGAGTGACGCATGTATCAAACTTGTCCGGGTCCTCGTCTCCGTTTAGACCTATCCAGCTGCAGTCAAGACAGCTGCCGTCTACTGCAGTCCAAAGTTCCGTTTCAGATTTACCGCCCCCGTATATGATTTCCGGACTGTACGAGGCGCAGTAATTGGCTCCGGAGTTGCAAATATCGCATTGACCAGAATCGCAAGACTTGAGCGCGGTTTCGGTGTCGCAGGTTTCTTTCGAAACTTCATCGAGAACGTTGCTTAAGTAATAACGGAACAACTGGTCCGGTAGCACGTGGCAGTCCTTCGTGGTGGAGTCCCATTGCCACCAGGCGGCGTCGTCAACCGTCCAGAAGAATTGCTGGCACTGATACAAAGTTACGTTGGTCGTGTTGGAGACGGGTATGGCATTGTCGCTGATCTGGATGGTGGATGCGTCTTTGAAATCGAGGCTCCAGTTGGTGATGGCTGATCGTTGGTCACTGCCGTTGGGGTCGGTCGCCAAGTCTCGAGGTTTCCGTCCGTCGAATATACAGTTGCCCGACACTGTCTCGGAGGACTTGCAGCTGTTGTAGCAGTTGTCCAATGCCTCGCCGGACCCCTGATTGAAGACACTGACCCAGGCGCAGAGGTCGGCTGAGCATAGATAATCAGTGGTGGTAAGTCCGGAAAAGAGGTCTTGAATGTCGTCTTCAGCGCGCAGTAAATAAATGCAGGTGTTATTTCGACAGTATTCTAAGCCCTTTCCGCCACTAGATACAGCGCACTCTGCTTCTTCGAGAAGCGAGACGGGAGTGTTTATGTAGCGTGTGGTGTCACTTCGCGAGAGCATTCCGCAAGCGGTCTTGCTCGCGATCCAGGCGAAGTATCCGACGTCCGGATTCTGGTAGGCCTGGAGTGTGCAGTCGTAGATCCCAGTCGCCTCAACCCAGGTGTAGTCTACGAGTCCGTCGTTTCCGTCCGTGATGCCGTTGGCCCCGAAGAGGTAGCCACCCAGGTGACTGGCGTCATAAGCGCAGCCGTCCGGCGGTGGGTCCACTTTGCCTTCACAGGCCTCCTTGCAGGCCACTAAGGCCGCTTCGGAAGGCGTCTTGACACTCACTACATCGCACTGAGCCGGCGCACTTGCTGTGCACAACTTATCCAGCAGCTCTTCCGTTGCCTGGCGGGTTGCCATACCGCCAAATGCCGCCGGTTCGGCCCAGATGCAGCGCGGTATTCCGTCGCCACACAGGTCACACGCGGCGGGGTTATCGGCACAATACTTGTTGTAGGTGTCAACATCGCAGCCACTCGGCTTTTTCTGTGCCGTCGGGTCCATGGCAAAGATTGGCAACAAAGCGTCTTCCGAAAATGTTTGACATGTCCCCGAGCTCGTTAGGGCAAGGGCGTACACGGCGGCCTTGGTGGCCTGTCGTAGACAGCTTTTGGGGGAGACATAGTTTTGCGCGCCGTTCTCGTAGTTCCCGAAGACCCAATTTTTCAACGCTGGGTCATCAGCTGGACTCGAACGCCCGTCCTTCACGCACTTATCCGACTTATCTAAAGTGCCCGCGGCACAGGCGGGTTCGCAGTCAATCAAGTCGTCTACAGACGTCAGCGCCGTCAGCCACTGACAATCCACACCGGTGCTTATTGCCGTGTTGCACCATTGCTCAAACTTAGCCATGTCGTCGCGTCCGCCCGTCCGTCCGGCAGACCAGGCGTCGTTGTCAATCCAGACACACACCTGCTCCTCGGTCTGGCAAGCATTACAGTTGTACGGCTGATTACTACAGACCTGCTCAAATGACGGGTTGCAGTAATCAGCAGGCAAACTCTCGTACGCGTTCGTGAAAACAAACATCGCATCGTCTTCCGTTAACAATCGACATAACCTCGTAGACGGATCCCAATTAAGCCAAACCCATTTCTCATCACGCTGCTTCAATTCAATTGCACACTCGTTTATTCCAACGTCTTCTAATGCCTCACCCAGAACAACATTTACACCAGCAATTTGACGACGTGTAAATGTCGGAATGTCAGAAGGCCATTGGTCACCCGAATGACATGTCTCTGGCAACTTGTCGCCTTTCTGACAAGCTTCCAAACATGCTCTCCATGCATCAACCGTATTCTCTTCAGACACAACATAATCGCACTCTGTTCCAGCCATGAGAAACCTCGGCTCCGTCAATTTGCTCCAGTCCAATACAGCACTCAATTCCGTCTCACTCAATTCCGTATTACTCAACTCACGTATTGGTCCTTAGGCCATAAGGACACTTTCTATGAGTGGTGCACCAACTGATTCTTCAGTCATGAACGCATGCCTCAATATTCCACTCATCCCCACTTACCTCCATCCCCACTTACCTCAACCCCTACTTACCTCCATCCCCACTTACCTCAACCCCTACTTACGTCCATCCCTACTTACGTCCATTCTTAGCAACATGTGTGAATCAAATTCGCAACCCATTCACTACTCCAAGTTACTTACTGAACAAAAAGTGATCTTCTCCTATTGCTTAACTGAACCAAAAAGTGAGGACCGCATTAGGATCTCATTGAGAGCCACATCAGTAGCTGACGACACGATGGTGTCATCATCCGCTGACGCCTTGGGGTAGCAGTTGGGGGTAATTTAGAACAATTCGTCTGCTCAGGAAATACTTCTTCGACTACGGGTCGAGTGCACGTCCTAATCAAGCGTCCAGAGGGGGACACATCCTCCAGAGGGGGACACATCCTCCAGAGGGGGACACATCCTCCAGAGGGGGACACATCCTCCAGAGGGGGAGGGGGGGGTGATTCAGTATAGACCCTGTTCATGCATGGCATCTGCCACTTTAATGAACCCTGCAATGTTAGCACCTTGTTCAAGATCGCAAGAGTTAGGTTCTTCAGTATATTTCTGGAATGCTTGTAGACAGTGGTCGAATGCGTTCTTCATGATCTCCTGTAGTTTGCCATCAACTTCTTCTCGTGTCCAAGTGGTGCGTGCTGCGTTTTGGCTCATTTCGAGACCGCTGACGGCGACTCCGCCGCAATTAGCGGCCTTACCGGGGCAGATAATAACGCCGTGTGCCTTGAATTCCTTGCGTGCTTCTGCAGAGATGGGCATGTTCGCTACCTCTACGATAGCACAGCAAGTGGCATCGATGAGATGTTTGGCATCTTCACCGTTGATTTCATTTTGCGTAGCGGAAGGGAAGGCTAGATTAACTTTCTCAACTAGCCCCCAGGGTTTACAGTCTGGTTTGTATTCAGCATTGTCGAGTTCTGTGAGTTCTGAGAGTCGACCACGTTTTTCATTTTTGAGCTCCATGATGGCCTGTAGGTCCTTCGAGGTCATGCCGTCCTTGAAGAATAATGTTCCGTTGCTGTCGGATGCTGTCAAAACAACAGCGCCTAGTTCGAGTAGTTTCTCGCAAGTGTATTGAGCCGCATTACCCGCACCCGATACGAGACATCGTTTGCCCTTGATTGAAGCTGCAACTGCACGTTCCTGATCATCTATGTAGCCTGTACCAGTATAAGCTAGATGCCCCAACAGGTTTTGAGCAAAGTAAACTGCACCATAACCAGTAGCCTCAGGTCGGATTAGACTACCGCCATAGAGCATACCCTTACCAGTCAATACACCATGATGACCATTCTCCAACTTACGATACTGACCATACAGGAACCCAATCTCTCTGCCACCGACCCCAATATCACCAGCAGGGACATCTGTATCCGGTCCGATATGACGGTATAACTCAGTCATAAAAGCCTGACAAAATGATCGTACTTCATTATCCGATTTACCCTTCGGATCAAAATCACTACCACCTTTCGCACCACCCATTGCTAGTCCTGTGAGTGCGTTCTTCAAAATCTGTTCGAAACCAAGGAACTTCAAAATCGATAAATTCACACTGGGGTGTAATCTTAACCCACCCTTGTAAGGACCCAGCGCACTATTGAATTGCACACGGTACCCTCGATTCATCTGCAACTCACCATCATCGTCTACCCACAAAACACGGAAGGTAATTATTCGCTCAGGCTCAGACATGATCCGGAACATCGGTATGTATCGAGGACTCTTTTTCAACATCGGCGTAATTGTCTCCAACACCTCGTCGTACGCCTGCAGAAACTCCGGCTCATGCTGGTAACGACCGTGCACCTCAGATGTGATCTTAGACAACTCCTCCACCACATCCACCGTCGACCAATCTCTCTTTTTGTACATTGACACAAAATTCTGCTAACACGCTACACAATAAAAGTGTGTGCTGTCTCGCTCACTTCACCATTTTTGTTCTGACTCAGTCTGAGCTGTGCCAGCTTGACCACAGGTGGCGACACTCGTGGACGCATTTTATTTACTACACTAAGTGTGTTCCGCTACTCTGCGTGTGCTTTTTTGAACTGGGGGTGTTCGCTATGGTGTGGGTCTTTCTTCTTATCCCGTGTCTTCTCATCCAACATTACAGGCTCGGGTATCTGTCCTCTTCCGAAAGGGTTTCGGAGTTGGCTCATCTGCCACTCCACTTCCTTAAGGTGCTCGGGGGAAAAGGTTTGTGTCTTCTTCGTTCGGTCTTTCTTCTTGGCCTTCTCATCCAATATTACGGGCTCGGGTATCTGTCCTCTTCCGAAAGGGTTTTGGAGTTGGCTCATCTGCCACTCCACTTCCTTGAGGTGCTTGGGGGAGAGGATTTGTGCCCTTTCCGTTCGGTCTTTCTTCTTATCCTTCTCATTTGATGCTACAGGCTCGGCTATCTGTCCCCTCCCGAAATGGTTTCGTAGTTGTTTCATCTGCCACTCGGTTTCCTTACGGTCCGTGAGGATTCTCTCGACACGGAGGTCATCCGAATCAGTGCGGATGTTGTGTTCGAATTTACGTGCGAGGCTCTTGGTGGCTTTGATGGTTGCCAGCCGTGGTAGGCGGTCGAGATAGGTGTACGGCTGTTCGCCGAAGGTGGACGAGCAGGTGAGGCGGTAGCAGACAGTGACGGGTGGTGCTGAGCCGGTGCCGCCTAGGAGTGTGTCTGCGATCTTTCGTAGCGAGGATGTTTTAAGGCGATCGAGTTTAACCGTGAGTCCAGTTTGCGTCAACTCGCCGGGGAAGTCGTTGGAATAAATCACAAGGAGGGCGCTGGCAGCCAGGTCGATGTCTAGATGTTCATTGGCGGAGCATTTCTGTAAGCTTGGGTCAAGATTCGCTGTTATCGAACGTGTTTGCTCATTAATTTCATCCTGTCCGAATAAGGAAACGACCAAGTTGTACGACGCTCCTGTGCTCGCCTTGGATATAGATCTCGGCAGAATCATTAGTTCATGCCGTAATGCATACCCACTAACTTCTGTCCCTACTACTTCGTCGAGGCCGCCACTAATAATTTGTTTTGCGTCATCCAAATCGATGTAGTTCCCTCGGTAGATTTGTTCGCACTTGCGTGGATCCACAAACACGTCCCGCTCCTGCCGCAAGTCTTCCGGGGGCTCACCCGTTGTCAGTAACTCTAGATTGATGCTACCTAAACCAGTACCCATGCGCTTCTCCAATACCTTCTCGATCGGGGAAACGCCAAGACTCCTCCACAATGACTGACATGACGCCACAGGGCCTGCCCACTGATGGGCCAACTCCGAAACCTTGGTGCAGCCTTCGCAAAACGTCATTCTGTTACAGATCCCGTTTGCTTGCGCCGCCTCCGGTGGTATGCCATGACCAGCCGCGCAGCCTACAGCCTCACACAAAGGTGCAGTCGACTGCACAGTCAGCTCCCAGAACAGGCATAAGGACATCGCTAGCCAACGGAACATTTGGTTCGCAATGATCGTTCAGAATACGGGGACTAGCCTGAATCGAACCCGGGTGGTGCACGTTAGGATGCGTGCGTTGTTGGTGCGCTCTAACTTGCTTGGAAACGATGTCTGACTACGGAACGCGGTATGGTTGGACCAGCCATCAAGGCCAATTCAGTCTCCAATCTCTCAAGTGGCTCCAGTCTCTCAAGTGGCTCCAGTCTCTCAAGTGGCTCATTGTTGTCCTTGTGGCGTTCAGCCACCTGGCTGTTTGCGAGGCCAAGAAATCTAGTCTAGGACCCAAGGCAGCGCCGCCAACATACCGACGGGCAAAATCCGCAGAAAGCCAGAGCATGTGTGAGTTGTTTGGTTGCAAGAAGGTCGCTGCGGCGAACCAGAGCTTTCCCGATCTATGTTCCGAAGCGACTGTGTGCACCGGCTGTCAGGTCGCCCAACATTTCCGTAGTCATTGGAAAGGTGACGTTGCAACGTGTGAGACCGTATTGGAACGCATGCCTGTGCGTCCTCAAACGTCCATCATTCGACACACCATGAGTCATGGGACTTCGCAAAATCTGCACAGCCTCCGGTCCAACTACCCTATGTGCAACCGCCTAGATCCCGGGGCCAAACGCCGAGACAGCTTCCGCAGTCACAAGGGGCACCACAACGAGAATGATCATCACGGGGGTGATCATCACGGGGGTGATCATCACGGGAGTGATCATCACGGGAGCGATCATCACGGGAGTGATCATCACGGGAGTGATCATCACGGGAGTGATCATCACGGGAGTGACCATCATCATCACGGGAGTGACCATCATCACCATCAGGATGGTGGCTCATCGAGAAGATCACCGAGACGCAGCTCGCGGAAGAGTGAAGACGACTGGTCGTTGAATAGAAAGGACGAGTCGGTGAAGAGCAGAGAGGACGCTTCGGACGAGGGTATCATTACGGTGGATTACGACGTGGTAATTCTGCCTGGTGGGAAGAGTAGAGACTTCGAGGTGAAGGTGACAGATCGCCATCTGTTCGCAGTACCGAACAAAGGAAAGGCACGTTACCAGGCGACGTTGTTTGAAGATACGACTCTGGCAACGGCCGCATTTGCGGGTGTGGGAAGGGATGAGAAGTCGTGTCCGACGTCTGAATCGTTTACTTTCTCTGTGCAGGATGACGACATGATTATTCTCCGATTTACGGACGTGGTGTTCAGATTACAAGACGGATACATGGACATCCGGCAGCACCTGAACCAGAAGCTCCAGCGAGGAGTGACGGGTGCGCGGGACGTAGCGGCTCAGAGAGATCATCTTGGTCGCGAAGGACTCAGCGCAGATGGTGTTCACTTTCTTCGCAACAGTCGCTACCTTGGTGCACGCGGTCTGGTCTGTGCTCGAATGTCCTGTCCCGTAGACCATCCTGGACAACAATTCTTTGAACCCAACCCTGTCCCTTTCACTTACCCAAGCGCAGCCGCCGACAGCTGCGGCATCTTATTTGAGGAGATACTCAAGCTTAAAGACCCCACGACCATTGGAGACGTCCTTGAAAAGCGGGCGGCAGAAGAAGAACCTGACCTCCCCGTCGAGAAGGAAGATGAAGACGAAGAAGGAGAAGATGAAGAAGGAGAAGATGAAGAAGGAGAAGATGAAGAAGGAGAAGACGAAGAAGAAGACGAGGAAGACACCCAGTTGCAGCCAGTGGCGGTGGACGAGCTGGACCGCGGCGTCCAGAGTGCCGAGGACGACCCAGCCTCGGGCTCCGCCCCGGCCCCAGCCGCGGCCGCGGCCGCGGCCGCGGCCCCGTCCTTTGAGGGCCGAAAGAAGTCGGTGTCATTTGACGTGCAGAAGACCGCCGATTTGAGGGACGACATCTCTCCAAGGCCGCGACGACGTGCGACGGCCGGGGGTGTGGCGGGTGCGATCGATCGTGTGCGTCGTGGGGCGCCACCTAATGTGGCGAGTTGGTTACCGCAAGCCGTGGCGGAGGTGGAACCGAAACGACGGAGTGTAGTGCAGCACACACCGGATGTGATGGGTGACTTAGCGTTAGGTCGGCTCTTGCAACAACAGAAGCAGACACCCTCGAAATCGAGCGCGAAATCAACTATAAAAAAGCCCAAAATTGACTCTTTGGAAACAGTTATTCGGATGCACGCTACTCGTGCGAAAAGTTCACATACTGCACTCAATCCCGACGATCCGGAAGACAGGAAGTTAAATGAGTTCTTCGATAATCCACCTCTCGTCGATAACCACCACTGGTGAATGAACCATTAGTGGTCGTAATCTACAACACCTGGGTCGTAATCTACAACACCCGGGTTCGACGCCAGCGCCCCGACTCGCCGACTTTATTTTGATGCCACCCCAAAAGGGCCCGGACACATACCAGGAAGAAGGCGAGACCCATTGCCAAGACGACCAACCGGCTCCCCGCCAGCAACGCCTGCGCCACCGCACGGTTCTCGCCTGCTAACCCGGCCAACCAACTCGGCGGCCGTTGCCACAACGACCACATCATCTGGTACTGCATGTGGGCCGGCAAAACATACCGCAAGAATCCGCAGTACGCCCATTCCGCGTTCTCTACGCATTTCGAACCGAAAGAATTTACAAAGGCCTCCCGAAGGTAATCAGGTTTGCGGTCGTCATGGTCCGGCACGTGATTACGGATGGGACTAGGGACGTAGCCACGTTCCTGCTTGTTGGTAACCTCTTGGGTACGGGCTTGGGCATGGTGCTGATTGTTTGCACGGTCCTGGGTGTAGCTACGGACGTAAGTTGGTCGGTCGTTAGTGCCAAGTGCATCTGAGATGTGTGCGTCGGAGATGTGTGCGTCTGACACGTAACTACGGACGTAACCCTGTTGCGACTCGCGTTCTTGCGAATCCCGCGATTGCCGAATATGCTTTGCCTCCTCCCGAATATCCATTGGTCCCTCCCGTGGCTCTGCGTCCGGTCGTACCGCCTGTTCTGATGTCTGCCGGGGCGTCTGGTCCCGTCTGGCTTTCCGTGACGTGTTCCGAATGTGGTCAGGCCTCTGCCAGGACGCTCGCGGCGGCTGTACATCTGAAGCATATCCACCGTCACGTCCGGAGTCGGAGTCCGACCACTGGTAACTGGTTGTCCGATTTTTGGTGCCTTTTCGGGAGACACGAATTACGGGGACATCCGTCGCCTGGCAGACGGTGAAAGGTTTAATGCATCCACGGGTTTGTTCCACAGACCGTGACTCTTCCACAGGTCGTGACTCAGCTTTCACGGCACGCAGTGGCGTGACCAGACCCACAGCCTCAGGCCGCAGTCTGTTCTTCCGTCGCGGCACGGAAGTCCGCACAGCTTCGTTAAAAACAACAGAATCCTGTCGGACCCCCAACCGGTCGGTCGCACCTGAGGATTCTTGTGCCCGGTTGACCGGTGGGTTGCGGACCGATGCGGGCCCCAATCGAGGCTGCCGACTGGGTTTTGTTTCACTCGCAGCTCCCATCGCCAGGAATTTTAAATTTCCCCGAACTCGTCCGCTCATCTCCCCAAAGGAAGAAATACCACCAAACATCGTCCACTCGTCGGTGGCGCCTCTCGAGCAACGTTTTCAAGCTAGGTGCTAAAAACCGTGTACGTTAACTGGCAATTTCTGTGCGCAATTTCTGTGTGCGCAATTTCGTGGAAAAAAGTAAGTTAAAAGCCGCAAGTCTTTCCAACGTGTGCAGCAAGGTCACAGAGTCTGTTGGAGTAGCCCCATTCGTTATCGTACCAGGAGATGAGCTTGACGAAGGTCGGGTTGAGTGAAATACCTGCCTTGATGTCGACTGTGGAAGATGCCTTGTCATGAATGAAATCAGTTGAAACTGCATCGTGGTCGGTGTATGCAAGCACGCCCTTGAGGGGACCGTCCGCAGCCTTCTTGATTGCTTCGATGATCTCCTCATAGGAGGCTGGTTTCTCGAGCGAGCAAGTCAAATCGACCACAGAAACATCAGTCGTTGGGACACGGATGGCCATACCAGTGAGTTTTCCGTTAAGGGAAGGAATGACCTTGCCCACAGCCTTGGCTGCACCCGTGGAAGAGGGGATGATGTTAACACCAGCAGCTCTGCCCGCTCTCCAGTCCTTGCCTCCGCGAGAGGGTCCGTCAACAGTGAGCTGGTTGGCAGTCATGGAATGCACAGTAGTCATCAGACCTTCCTTGATACCGAAAGCTTCATGTACAACTTTCGCCAAGGGGGCTAAGCAGTTAGTAGTACAGGATGCGTTCGACAACACATTGATCTCAGGCTTGTACTCGGTGTGGTTCACACCCATGACAAACATCGGCACGGAGTCCTTAGGGGGCGCAGAGATGATGACCTTCTTCGCACCACCGGCAATATGCTTGGACGCAAGTTCCTGGGTGGTGAAAATTCCAGTAGACTCACATACAATGTCCACCTTGGCGGATGCCCAGGCAATGCTGGACGGCTCCTTCTCACGGAACACAGTGATCTCCTTGCCGTTAACCACGAGCTTGTCCCCCTTTGCCTCGACAGTCCCGGGGAATCTTCCATGGACAGTATCGTACTTGAGCTGATACATCATATATTCAAGATCCATGAAGGGTTCGTTGATAGCGACAGGCACAAGTCCTTCATTCTCAAGAGAAGCACGGAACACCAGTCTTCCAATGCGTCCAAAACCGTTGATGCCAAGCTTAGCGACCATGATCCCGAATGTTCAACAGCTAAGAAATTGCGATGTTAACTCCGACCAGAACAAACCCCACGGGATACGCGCCGTATCCCATCACAATTGTGGGCGAAACCACATCGACCGGGTCGGATGGACAGCAGTGTTCAAACAAAGACGGCTAAGTCCTGAACACAAAGCCAAAAACACACGCCTCTGGCTGCGTACCCGCCCCGCCTCGCCTAAACTGATGCACGCTGTCAGAGGTCGTCCCATTCCCCCTTCCGCTGTGTGCCGTATCATGTCACGTTGGCTGCTTCCCGTCACTAGCTGTGGACCCTTTGCGGGCCTTTTTTCGATGAGTGGTCGAGTCCGTAAGTTTCCGGTGTCGTCGATAGTACCCCAGCTTGTACTGACCCTGTCGAGTGTGTTTCAATTCCACAACGACCTTCTGCATTTCGTCTAAGGTGTGGGCCTTGGCCAAAGCGTCTCGGAGGTCGTGGTGCTGTTGGAAGCCAGTGTAGAGACAGCTAAACAAATGCGACTTGAGCGCCTTAATATCTCCGGACGTCTTGTCACCTCCAGACTGCTTTCCGGACGTCTTGTCACCTCCAGACTGCTTTCCGCTTTTGGATTCGAAGGGTTTAGCATGTGTGGCATATTGAGTCACGAATTTGTTGAGGTAAATAAGCTCCAGCATTAGGTCGTCGACGTCCTTGCGTCCCTGCGGACAAAAGACGGAGGGGTCCTCGAGCAAGGCTTCGCCGCTCATGACGGCGGCGGCGCCAGTGAACCGTAGACATGCGTCTGCCGTCGTCAAGCTACATACAGACCCGTTGGCGATGATGGGGATCCTGGTGATGCCCACAAGCTCTCGGATAAGGACCCAATCCGCACCGCGGATCGCGTGGCCCTTGTTCTGCGGCGTCCGTCCATGCACAGCGATCGCCAGCACGCCCAGGGCCTCTAGTCGCTTCACCAGGTCCACCGTCTTGGGGTACTGCGATAAAGAAAAACCTGTCTCGTCTACCACCGCTTCCACCTCCTTTTCACCTTCAACCAACTCGGCTGAAGATAACCCGCTGGCGCTTGAAGGTTCCAATCCCCTCTTCCCAGGCCGCGAGGCGCAGCTCTCATCGACAACTATCGCAGATATATCATTATTGCGCCGGTCCTTTACCTCACCGATCGGGCTAGCGTCCTTGGTCGGGTTGTCGGTTCTGGTCCGGAGGTCCTTATTGGCGTCCTTGGTCAGGTCCTTTAGTCCATTGTTGGGGTGCTTTAACTCATTGATTAGGTCCATCGGTTCATTCATCAAATCTTCTGACTCATCCTCGGGCTCGGGCCCGGGCTCGGGATCTGCAACTCGGATCTTCACGGTAACTGGACAACGTAGTTCATTGACCATCGCTGAAACCACCTTGATAATGGTCTCCGGCTGACTAAGCAAAAACGAACCGTATTGACCTCGACGGGCGATGCCCTGAGGACAGCCACAGTTCAAATCTATGGCTGCTACTCGGTCTTCCAACAGCTTGCCAGCCGCCACCACAGTCGCAGGATCGTGACCACATAGTTGAGCAATTGTATTTTCTTTTGAGTAGGGAGACACCGGTCTAGCCGAGGAGGTACGGTGCTCCAGGGACACGGTCGTGGACGCCTCCTGATCCCACGACTCCGGAAGTACAAAATGACCTTCTTCGTTGACGGTTGGAGCCGGCGGCAGGCAGATCAGCTCCGGGTGAAACTTCGGCCGGTAATTACGATCCTCCGTGAGTAACCGGGAATGCAGCATAGGCGTATAAGCAGCGTCCACCCCGTATCGCCGACATAGCAGCCGGTAGGGGAGGTCGCTTGCATTCACCATGGGGGCTAGGATGTACCTGGGGGCCTTCATCCTCTCATTCCAGTACGTCCAAGCCTCCTCCGCTGTCAGCTTCATTTTGTCCTCGCAAAATCGAGCCGCCCCCGGGTTCACGTCCGGAACCACCCACCCAGTCCGCCATTTCAATTGCTAGCTATCTACATAATGAGCATGTGACGTCCAAAACTGTGCGCGCGCGCGTGTGCACACGCGTGTTCGCGCGCACTTGAAAACTTGAAGAGGCATCAACTTTATTTGACGTATCGATTGATGAGCTTCGTTATTGCGTCTCTTGACTTTTTCGCCTCGTGCACAATAGTATCTCTTCGTTCTCTGGATATCCTTGGATAGAATTGGGTAACCATCTTGAGCATGAATAAGCAGGCGTCTCGGTCACTCCAATATTTAAGGTGAGATTGCAGTAGCCCCAAAGGCGCGATGAGTGCTTCTTGCAGACCGCCAGCGATGGAGAAGTCGAGGCGCAGTGGGTAATGTTCGGCAACGCCATCAGCGGCTCCGCTTTCAATCTCGGTATCTTCGCACATGAGTTCTTTGGCGATTTCCTTCCGGAGTTGATTGACAGTGAGGAGCAGGTCTCTCTCCCGTGCTTCATGTTGCCATTGTTCGAGGTCGTAGTTTTGTTCACTGTATTTCAGGGTGTCCACTTTGTTTATTCCAGCGGAGCACAGGTTGCTTAGCAGCTGATCGAATTCTGAGTCTACTAACGACATTATTTTGTTCTTGATCATGGTCTGACGCTCAGCCGTCACAGTCTTGAGCTTCTCTCCGATCATCTGGGACGCTTTCGTTCTCAGCTTCCGGACCACGTTCAGCGCCAACTGTCGGCTCGTCCACGGGCGGTGGTGGTGCTTATTTGACCCCGCACTCAAGGCGTCGTCCGCCGGTCCAACGGCGTGCCCCTGACTGATAACTTCCGCGCCAGTCACATTCAGCACATTTGGCTTACCCGTGTCCGAAAAGTCCGGCTCCGGGGGTGGAGTGGGACACTTTGTCCCGAAACCCCGGCGCTCGCTCCCCGCGCCCTGGTCGCTCCTCATAGCCCGGTCGCTACCGGAGCCAAGGCCGTGCTCGCTCCCAAAACCGCGCTCGCTCCCCAGACCGTGCTCGCTCCCTAGACCGTGGTCGCTGCCGCTAATGCTCGACGCCGGCGTGTCGTACTCCTCGCCCGAGTTGTCCAGCACGCCGAACCGCCGTCGCCGGTCGAGAGGGTCCGGTAGCGAGTAACGCCGGAGTGCGCGTAGCTTTTCCACCCACTCCTCCGTCTCGGGAGGTGTGGCCGTGGCATTGCTGAAAATCCGACTCATCACCATGGTGGCCGCGGCCTTGACGCTGTTCTTCGTCACCAGTTCGAGTCCCCGCCGCAACATATCTCCTTGACTACAGAATGACATAACTAAGGTGCCCCTCCCCCGCCACCTACTGTGCCCCTTCCCCACGTACTGTGCCCCTTCCCCCCACGTACTGTGCCCCTTCCCCCTACCAGTGTGCCCCTTCCCCACCTACTGTGCCCACTACTGTGCCCACTATTGTGCCTACTACTGTGCTCCTCTTTACTTACTAGTAGCTGGGAAGTCGGATGGCGGGCGGTATGTAGTCTTTGTCTCGGTAGAAGACGGGTTCAATGCGGGTGGCGATGGGGTCGGAGCGGTGGAATATGTTGTAGATTCTTGTGTGTCTATGTCTGCCAAGGGAGAGTGGCCCGGCGGGGGTGAGAGATTTGTCGTTCTTAAGGACGAGGAAAGAGCTGAGTGGGGAGCCCCAGAGGAAGACGTGGTTGACGTCGAAGTCGAGTGTGGCTCCAGCGCAGTCTGGTTTTGCAGGGAGCGTTTGATCTGGAAAGAGGCTGACGTCATCAGCATCAACGGAGTCCCAGAGTTGAGCCCGGAGTGGACGGCCGCTGAGTAGTTCATAGAGCAGGACACTACCCAATGAATGCCCCACTAGCACGATCTCGCTATGCCGGAAACGACCACAGGCTGAAGTACGCAAATCGCGCACACGCTGATTCAACAACCGTCCGACCTGCGTCGCCATATAACCACCGTACCTTGGCGTCAAGTAAAACATCACGTCCACCACCGTATTACTGAAGTACACTCGTAAACCGTGCCGCTTCTGCAACTCCTTAAATTCTCGCACATCCTCCGGCTCCAACTTCATCTCACTCGCACGCCGACCTCGACGGCCGAAAAATCCACTACGTTCAGATTCCTGTATTCCTTTCTTCCCCTTGTCCTCTTTCTTCCTCTTGTCATCCTTCTTCCGCGGGTCCTCCTTTTTCCCCATGTCGTTCTTGGCCTGATTCCTCTTCTTGGCCTTCCTTGCCTCTTCCGGCGAACTGCCTCCCGGCCGTTGCGGCTTGTTCAGAGACCGACTGCCCGACGCAGAAGAGGCGCCCTGCAGTCCCGCCGCGTCTGCGGCCGGCCACAAGTCCTCGCTCGTCTCCTCCTCACTGCTCACAGGCTGGTCCCCGCGTGGCACTCCTTGGTTCTTCTGTCCTAACCCGCACGAACCAGACGGTCCCTGGCAAGACCCCAATCCCGACCCAGGCGGCCCAGGGTGGGACTCCGATCCCGACCTTGGCGGTCCGGGGTAAGAATCCGATCTCTCAGGTACTGCATAAGACTCCAACATGCCCGAGTCGGGCTTGGAGGGCCCCGAGTCTAGCGGCCGCGGCTCAGAGGGCACTCGGTCGGAGGC